CTCCATGGAGGCAGGCCCCCATCTGTCCTGTTCCTGCTGTGGCCCCGGCACACAGGAAGCACTCAATACAGCAAACGTCTCAGGTTGAATGAACAAGTCCCTGTACTCACTTGAACGCTGAACAAAGTCAAAGGGACCCCTGGTTTGGTAGGGACCCCTGGTTTGGTGGGCACCCCACCCCCATCTTGACGAAACAGGTGCCCTGATGGTTAAAGGAAAAGAAAGCAGCGCGGTCCCAGGACAGAGATCCGATGGAAGAAGTGAAACAAAATGTCACCATAAAGAAGCACTGATTTCACCTCAGTCCAGTGGTGAAAACTGTGGGCTCTGGTGTCAGAGAGGTTTGGGTTCAAATCCTGACTCTGCCACTACTGGGTTATGTGACCTTGGAGAAGCCGCCTAACCTCTCTGTGCTTCAATTTTCCCAGCTACAAAGTGGGACTGCAGGGCTTCCCTTGTGGCACAATGGTTAAGAATCCACCTGTCAACGCAGGGGACACGGGTTTGAGTCCTGGTCCGGGAAGATCCCACATGCCACAGAGCAACTAAGCCCGTGCGCCACAACTACTGAGCCTGCACTCTGGAGCCCGTGAGCCACAACTGCTGAGCCCGCATGCCTAGAGCCCGTGCTCCTCAACAAGAGAAGCCACTGCAACAAGAAGCAGCCCCTGCTCGCCGCAACTAGAGAAAGCTCGCGTGCAGCAACAAAGAGCCAACTAAGCCAAAAATAAACAAATTAATAAATAAATTTATTTTAAAAAAAGTGGGACTGCAGTGCCTACACCTAGGACTACTGTGAGGATTAAGTGAGATAGCACAGGTAAAGTAGCTGACATAGCAGAAACTACGGGTCAGCTAATATTGCCATCTAACCAAGTTACTTAAAATTACACCAAGGGGAGAATTGGACTCAAGTTCCTTTCAGAGCCAGAATCCACACCATTCACAGACTGAGCGCCAGGCACCATATAAGGTGTGTGTGTGGCGGGGGAGGGGGAGATGCAGCCACACATTCACCAAATCCAGCTGGAATTAATGCTCCCTCCTTCTTCTCCCCCAGTCCTTCCAGGGCTTCTGTCCGTGGACATCTAGCATACAATGCTAGATAGAAAGAAAAGTCTCCAGCAAGAGCACACGAAGCTGCAGCCCCTGGCCTGGGGCCTGGCTAACTGTCCCCAAGACCAGTGACCCCAGGGCTGCAGAAAACCACTTCCTGACAAATTCTGTATCCAGGAGCAGGCAAATGAATCCCACCAGCACACACCCAGCCTTCCCGGCCACCCCAGCCCAGCACCACTGACCTTCTAAAGGGTCCAGAGAGCCTCCATTCCAGCTGCAGACGTGGGACACAGACCTTGACAGAGTAAATGTCTTATTAACGCTGTGATTTAATGGAGGGACCGGCTAACTACTCACTTTCCTGCCACTCGGGGAGTCCCTGATGGTTGGGCCTGATTTTCTGTACCCACTAGTTCCTAAGGATGCCTCACAGCCCTGAAGCGCTGTATGAACCACACCAGGGAGGAAAGTCCTGCCATGGGGCCCAATTCGCCCAGGATCCAGCAAGGGACGACAGGGATTGGTGGCCACAGGGCACCCCTCCTGGGCTTTAGTCCCAGCTCCTGTAAAGGTTTGTTCTTGCCGCTGAGGCAAGTGACTTTCTCGCGGTGAGGGGGAGGGGGTCAGGGATGGGCTCAAAGGGAACGGGCTACTCCTGAAGGCTCAGCTGCCGCATGGATGGGGAAGTGTCAAGGCTGGTCGGAGACTCTGTGCGAAAAAGGTGGGTGGCTGGACTGGCCTGGGAGCGAAGCTGAGGGAAGGGGCTGGACCTGTGGGGATGTGGGTGGCGGGGAAGCCGAGCGCTGGGGAGGGGTGAAGAAGTGGGGCAGGTCAAGGAAGTGGTCTCTGGTCTCATATAGATAGCGTGGGTTTGGATGGGGACGGGGAGAAGGTGGGGACCTCCAGAGCCGACAAGGAAGGGAAGGCGTTACTGGGTGAGGCCACCCCCGGAAGGGGTCAGAGCCAGGTGGTCTGGGTAGCAACGGGATGGGAGAGGAGGTCGGGACAGGCCGGGCGTTGGAAAGGCTGAGAGGTGGCCCTGCCGGCGGAGGGGACGGGCGGGGAAGGAGTGAGGAGAGGCCGGGGCGGAGGGGAAACGGAGGCGGGGACTGGAGCAACCGCGAGTCTGGGCAATGGCGGGGCCGGGGTGCGCGGAGGCCGGGGCGGAGGGTACCGGGGAGGCCGGTCAGTGGAGGATCCAGAGTCGGGACTGAGGTGGGGCCGGTCAATGGCGGGTTCAGGGTCGCGGCCGAGGCCGGACGGGGCGCGCGGGCACTGCTCACCGGGGCTCGGGGCCGGCGCGGGGCGAGGGCCGGGCTGGGCAGGGCGTCCCGGGGCCAGCGGCGTCTCAAGCTCGCGGCTCCATGCCCGGGACTGCAGCCCAGGAAGTGGCGGGCGCAGGGTACAGCGGCGGCAGCGGACACGGGACACCCGGCAGCTCAGGCCCCTTTGACCCGGAAGTCGAGCGGCCCAGGCGGCGGCCTGGGATTGGCCACCTCCCGGCCGGCACCAAGGAGTCCGGGGCGCTGGGGGGGGGGAACGCGCCAGCACGGCCCCCGCGGCAAGTGGGGTGAAACGTCCTAAACGTGGCGTCTTCCTGTGCGAGCAGGGACGTTGGGAGAGACACCCCCAGTAACTTGGTATTGCCCGGCCTAACCGATAATACTTCTACTAAAGACTCCTAGAGAAAAGCTTGCTCGTCCAAGCGTTGGTGGTATAGTGGTTAGCATAGCTGCCTTCCAAGCAGTTGACCCGGGTTCGATTCCCGGCCAACGCAAGTGTGTTTTACAGCTTTTTCTTAGTTTTACCGTCCACTTAAAACTTTCTCGTCAAACATCGACCTAGAGTTTGTGTTACTTTGCAATAACTTTTTAAATTCCATAATATCTAAAAAAGACCAGAGAAATAAGAAAAAAGAAAAAGGCACCGACGCTGAATTTCTACTGAAATTACTTTGAAGCAAATTTTAAAATTCTACAGTAAAGATGTAGAAATGTTTCTGCTGGGGATCGAACCGGGGACCTTTCTATTGTGAGGAGAACGTGATAACCGCAGCACTAGGGAAACATGTTAGGGTCGCCCTTCTTAAGCTTATCACAAACAATGTTACGGAGATTGTTACATTGTAGCTCCTAAAATGAACATTATTTGTTTCCTTCCTTCACGGTGGTCTGGGCAGCAACTTCCTGAATATCCGCTCTTCCTGAATATCCATCACTCTGCTTGATGCAATGGAAGCTGGAAGGAGGAAAATACAGAATAAAAAAAATCCAATAACCCCCTTCGCAACACGCACAAACACACTATTAAAACAATCCAAGAGAGAAACTGCTCTCAAACCCACCCTGAAGCCCAACAATGTTTCATTAGTTCGTCTCATAGATAGATTTTAAACTCTTGCCTGTCCACAAATGTTGACGTTGTTGCTTCAGCCCAAACCACTTTCTACAAGAACTTTCAGTAAGACCGCTGAAGGACGCCAGGTGCAGCAAATTGCGAAGGGAAAAGAAGAAAACCAAAACAAGCCGGACATGGAAAGAAGATAATTTAAATGACTTCTCATCTTATAACCCAGAGTTAACTCATTTTGGACCTATCTTTTTTTTTCTTTTTTTTTTTTTAAGAGAGATAGTAGAAGGAAGGGAGGTAATGGTAAGGAGTTAGGATCAGATTGCTGCAAAATCTGTTTTGTTTGTTTTTTCCCCTTACAGGGCCAGGATTAGAAGGAGAGTGAGGCAATGACCTCAAGTGCAAAAATTAAGGGGCTCTAAAAAAACTAAATAATATTTTAATGCATTCTTTTTTTTTTTTTTTTTTTGCGGTATGCGGGCCTCTCACTGTTGTGGCCTCTCCTGTTGCGGAGCACAGGCTCCAGACGCGCAGGCTCAGCGGCCGTGGCTCACGGGCCCAGCCGCTCCGCGGCATGCGGGATCTTCGCGGACCGGCGCACGAACCCATGTCTCTTGCATCGGCAGGCGGACTCTCAACCACTGCGCCACCAGGGAAGCCTGCATTATTCTAAAATATCAAAATAATGGCAAAAAGCAACCCCATGGTGAACAAAATATCAAAATCTTAAAGCAAGACAGGTTCTGACAGTGTCTTACCAAGCCATATTGGAGTCTGAGGCAAGAGCAAAAACGTGTGCCCCTCTACATCTGTTTTTTGTTTTGTTTTGTTTTGTTTAATTTATTTACTTGGCAGCATACGGTCTTAGTTGCGTTGCACTGGGCTTAGTTGCCCTGCAGCAACTAAGATCTGCCTTTTAATGGAGACCATGATTTAGGTGTAACTCCCCAAAGGAGAAAAGGTCTGTGACATTTTTCTGGAGAAGTTCTGATACAATAGTGAAACTTTTCTACAGTTAGATGTGAAATAACAATGGTAAACATTTTAAAGGAAACCTTAAAAGTCCATGACTATTTAAAGAAAGTAGGATCTTTTTGCGGGGAGGTGTCTGACCACAGAGCAGGAATCATTGCGGAAGGACAGACATACAGACACAGGACAGGTCCCGCCCCACAGAAGGCAGCATCTTAGTTCCCTAACCAGGTATCAAACCCGTGTTCCCTCTATTGGCAGGCGGATTCTTAACAATCGCATCACCAGGGAAGGCCGGAAGGTGGGGGGGTCTTAACCACTGGGCCACAAGGGAAGTCCCATATGTCTGTTTTTACGCATTTTTAATGGTTATTTTCCCCCAGGACATGGTTGAAAATATTGAAACTTAAAAATAGGTATGTTAGAGGGCTTCCCTGGTGGCACAGTGGTTGAGAGTCCACCTGCCGATGCAGGGGACACGGGTTCATGCCCCGGTCCGGGAAAATCCCGCATGCCGCTGAGCGCCTAGGTCCATGAGCCATGGCCGCTGAGCCTGCGCGTCCAGAGCCTGAGCTCCACAATGGGAGAGGCCACAACAGTGAGAGGCCCGCGTACCGCAAAAAAAAAAAAAGAAAGAAAAAAACCAAAAAAGGTATATTAGAACTCACAACATTAAGAACTTATAATTTTACTTTTCTCTTTTTTATAATTTTACTTTTCTGTGTTTAATGGAAGCAAACATATCGATAATATTCTCAACATATGCTTTGGGGGGGAGGAATTAACTACTAAAAATCACATAAAACATACCAAGAAGCACACAGTTTTCCTTTTGCCTCAGATCCCGATATGGCTCAGCAGGGCACTGTGACACAGTAATATATCTTGAAGATCTTCTGTTTTAGTTTTCTACTGCTGCTGCGACAAATTACCATAAACACTGGCTGAAAACAACACAAATTTATCATCTGACAGTTCTGGAAGTCAGAAGTCCAAAAAGTGGTCCAAATGGGGCTAAAATCAAGGTGTCCACAGGGCTGCATTCCTTCTGGAGGTGCTGTTCCTTGAGGATCCAGGAGAATCCATTCCTTGCCTTTTCCAGCTTCTAGAGGCTGCCCACACTTCTGGGTTCATGGTCCCACATCACTCCAACTTCTGGTTCTGTTGTCACATTTCTTTCTTTGATTTTGACTCTCTTGTCTCCTTCCTACAAAGACCCCTTCGTGACATCAGACCCACCCAGATAATGCAAAATAATCTACCCATCTCAAAATCTTTAACTTAATCCCACCTGCAAAGTCCCTTGTGCTATGGAAGGGAGCATCTTCACAGGTTCTGGGGAGTAGGATGTGGACATTTTGGGGGGCATTATTCTAGCGACCACATCTTCCCCCCATCATTAAACATTCTTCTGTGACATCCTTTTTGACGGCTGCATAGTATTCCATCTATTCACTCATTCATTCAACAAGTATTTACTGACACGTACTATGTGAACTGGGGAAAGTGGAGTGGGTAAAGCAGAAGTCAAGCTGACCCGGAGCTGGTCATGAGTGGGCTGATCTGATGGATTTTTTAAAAAATTTTTTATTTTTTGGCTGTGCTGTGGGGCATGCGGGATCTTAGTTCCCTGACCAGGAATCAAACGCAGTCCCCTGCAGTGGAACTGCAGAGTCCTAACCACTGGACTGCCAGCGAATTCCTTCTTTTTTTTTTTTTTTCCTGAGGGATATCTGGAACCTAATGTTGACCAGACTTACCAATTCACCCCTCCTAAGAGGGCTGTAATCAAGAAAAACAATAACAGGGAATTCTGTGGCGGTCCACTGGTTAGAACTCTGGGCTTTCACTGCGAGGGCGCGGGTTCAATTCCCTGGCCAGAAATACATACATACATACATATGTACATACAGGAAAAAGAAAAACAATAAAAACAATAATAAGTGTTGCTGAGGATGTGGAGAAACTGGACCCTTTGGACTTTGCTGGTGGGAGTGAAAAGTGGGGCAGCTGCCGTGGGAAATGGTCTGGCAGTTCCTCGAAAGGTTAAACAATTATCATCTGAGCCAGCAATCCCACTCCTAGGTATCTACCCAAGAGAAGTGAAAACACATCCCTGTAAAAACTTGTACACACATGTTCATAGCAGCATGATTCACAATAGCCAAAACGTGGAAACAACCCAAGGGTCCATCAATGGATGAATGGATACCCAAAATGTGGTCCATCACACAATGGAATATTATTCAGCCATAAAAAGGGGAAATGTATTGGTGACTTCATGTTAAGTTCAGCACCTGACCCAACCGCCCCCTCCTCCTGGGAAATCCTCAGGGACCCTCCTCTCCTCAGTGGCCCCGTTGGTTTCCTTCTCTCTCCCTCGTTGGTCCAAGGCTGGGTCCTCAGGTCTTTCCCCTCCCCTCTGGCAGCCTTCTCCTCCTCCACTCCTAGGACGTTAACCCCTTCTATACCCCGATGACACTGAGGCCTCCCCTGAGCTCCAGACTCGGGATCCGACTGCCCCTGGATATCTGCGCTTGGAGGGCTTGTGGGGGACTCACACTTACCATGGCCCTAACTGAGCTCCTATCTTCCCCAACCTGCTTGCTAAGGACTTAATGTTTGTGTCCCCCTAAAGTTCATATGTTAAACCTAACCCCCTATGTGATGTCTGAGGAGGTGGGGCCTTTGGCAGGTGATTTGCTCATGAGGGTGGAGTTCTCGTGAATGGGATTAGTGCCCTTATAAAAGAGACCCCAGGGAGCTCCCTCACCCCTTCCTCCAATGAGGACACAGCAAGAAAACATCATGTGTCAACCAGGAAGAACACCCTCACCAGACACTGAATCTGCTGTCACCTTGATCTTGGACTTCCAGCAATCCAGAATTGTGAGAAATAAATGGCTCTTGTGTATAAGCCACCCAGTCTATGGTGGTTTGTAACAGTAGCCCAGGCGAACTATGAAACTGCTTCTCCCGCCATCTCCTGCCCCAGTAGAGGACAGCTCCTTCCTTCCAGGCACTCAGCCAGAACCTGCTCTCTCACCCCCACCCAATCCCTTAGCAAATCCAATTGGTGCTGCTTTCAAAATATACCCAGAATCTGATCACTTCTTCCCTCTTTTTTTTTTTTTTTTTTGCGGTATGCGGGCCTCTCACTGCTGTGGCCTCTCCCGTTGCGGAGCACAGGCTCCGGACGCACAGGCTAAGCGGCCATGGCTCACAGGCCCAGCCGCTCCGTGGCATGTGGGATCCTCCCGGACCAGGGCACGAACCCGTGTCCCCTGCATCGGCAGGCGGACTCTCAACCACTGTGCCACCAGGGAAGTCCCACTTCTTCCCTCTTTGATGGCCATCTCCCTGGTCCTCCCCATCATGGCCCACCTGGACAAGTGCAGTCACCTGTTTTTTCCTGCCCACAGCCTGTTGTTTCCCGCAGCAGCCACTGCACCTGTGAGCACCGGACTCAGGTTCCCTCCCCTCCTCTGCCCACAGCCCTCCAGGACTCCCACCTCCTTCGAGGTAAAAGCCCAAGTCCACCCCGAAGCCCACAAGGCTCTGCACGACCTGCCCCGTCCCCTCCCTGCCCTCCCCTCCTCCCTCTCTCCCCCTCACTCACTCTACTCCAGACACACAGGCCTCCTGGCTGTTCCTCCAACACACCAGGCATGGTCCTGCTCCAGGGCCTTTGCACATGCTGTGCCTGCTGGCTTTTCCAAGTTATTTCCAGGGCTCACTCTCTCTCCTCCAAGTCTTGGTTTGAATGTTACCTCCTCAGAGGTGACTTCCCTGAGCCCTGCTAACTTTAATCTTCTCCCCCAACCTTGGCACCAATAAATTCAGTCCCTATCAGTTCATTGTTCTTTCAATGACTTATCAGTCTCTGAAATAATCCCATTTGTAGATTTGTTTACTTGTTTCTCCTTTGCCTACCCCACTGGGCTGTGAGCTCCACCAGCTCAGGGTTTTTTGTTGTTTGTTTGAATCTATTTTGTTCTCTACTTGTCACTACGGGCTCAGTAAACATTTGTTGAAATTATGAACAAATGAACAGCTGGCCAGTGGAGAGAAAATGCCTGGGAGTGGGGATGGAGTAATACAGGTGGGCTTCCTGGTGGAGAACCTCTGAAAACATGTTCTCTCCCGCATGAGCCCCATCGAGGCCTCAGAGCTCACTTACCTGCAAAACAAAACAAAAAAAATTCCTTTAAAATTATCTCTTGTGTCCTTCAAACATACTCAAGGCATCCAGTGCGCTGTGTGATTCCCAGAAAGTCACTCCCCTTCTCTGAGCCTGCGTTTGCCTGTGTGAGGTCTGGTACATCTTCCTGTGGAGACTACAAACTCAGGTTCCCTGGACAAAAAAGAAGATAATTCTGTCATTCCACTAGGTGGCAGCAGGAGCCCAGACCCCGGGCATCGCACAGTATCTCTGCCACCCACCCAACACTATCCCCTGACTGCCATCCACCCCATCTTCCCTTCCAGCGCCACTCTGAGCCCCAGACCTCAGCATCTCAGAGTCAGACACCCCTAATATCCCCTCCCCCCCGCCCCAGTATTTGCAGAAGCACCTGCTTGTCCCGAAGCAGGTAGGGTTGCTGGCCTGTCCTACCAAAGTGTCTAGCTTTCCAGGAGCCTTCAGGAAGGTTGGGGGGAAGAAAAGGAAGAGGAAAGAAAGAAGGGAAGGGGGTAAGGATTTAATGTTTCCAGTCTGGGAAACATTTCTTGCAAATGCTGGCTGCAACAGATCCCTTTGTATGTCTGGGAATAGCATGCATAGAATAATGGAAATGCAAGACAATGTCACATTTTAAACTCATTTAGTCCTCCCAACAATCCCGTGATACTGGCGCTATCAGCAGCAGCAGCCTCCTTTTAATGGGTGAAGAGACCCAGGCATGCAGAAGTTAGTCACACACTCAAGGAGACACAGAGAGGTTAAGTAACTTACCCAAGGTCACACAGCTTGTAAGTAGCAGACTAGAGATTCGAAGCCAGATGGTCTTGCTCCAAAGTCCATGGCACAAGACTAGATTGTGTACTACATAGTTGAAGTTCAAGGTAATCAAGATAACTAAAAATAAAATAAAAGTCATTGAATCAGAACCAGCCATCGGAACATTCAGCCTGGGCCGTATCAGGGTCATTCACGAGTATATTAAGACAGTGTAGCCCAAGAGTTTTCTGGGCTAAAGAACAGAAACAGCCCAATTGTCCACTCACAGCCATAAAATGAATTAGGAGGCCCTTTGTGCTCTGAGCTGGGACAGTTTGGGGAGGTGTATGTCCTACACCACCATTTATCAGAATAATCACGATCCAGAAAGGATACAAATGTATATGGACACAGTCGGGTGTATCCACGGAATACCCCTGGAAGGAATCCGTGAAATGGACAGCAGGGGTGGCTGGCCATGACATTTGGGTGAGGCTCCTGGAGGCTGGGGGCTGCGAGCTTGGGCAAGACTGACTTTCTACTCCTCAACTTGTATACAAATTTAGATTCCATTGTGGAAACCATTCCAAACATATAGAAAAGCTTGTGGGACAGTAGAATCACGGCTCTCATGCAAAAACCTCTTTTCTTCAACAGCTCATTTAAAGAATGGCACCACCCTACCCCGTCCCGGGGGATTCCCAGGCGGTCCAGTGCTTGGGACTCCGCGCTTTCACTGCCCAGGGCATGAGTTGGATCCCTGGTCGGGAACTAGGATCCCGCAAGCCGCGCAGCGCGGCCAAATAAATAAATAAAATAAAATAAAGAGTGGTACCCCGCCCCCCCCGGCGCCCCCGATTTCAGTGGAGTTAGGGAAGGAGCAGAGGGGATGTGCTGATGTAGAAAGACACCCCCCCTCCCCCAGCAACCTCGAGACATTTACAGTTAAAAAGAGCAAACAACAGGTGGGTCTCCCCTTTGCATGGGCAGACGCGTGAAAATAGACGTGCTTTGGAAATTGCTAGAATCGAATAGGAGACACCGAGGAAAGTAATTTCTGGCAGTAACTAGACTAGACGGCCTTCTATATAGATAAAATTCAAGGTCATCAAGATAACGAAAAATAAAATAAAAGGCCATCGAATCTTTTTCACAAGGTGGGAGAGAGCCTCGTTGTTCACGGCACACCCTTATGCACTGTTGAATTTTGATAAGCCACGCGTCATAATTAAAACCCATTAAAATGGTAAGAATATAGGATATTTGCTTTGAGTCTTTTAAAAACAATAAATAAGTCATTTCTGATACAGTTGATGTCCTCTGTGAGCTGGGATCACCTTTTTAATTAAAAATTAATTAAGAAAATCATGATAGTTAACTCCTAGCTAATGAACTGGTTAACTAGTAGTTAAATAATGATAGTTAAGGTGCCAGGCCCTGAACTAGTTGTTTTAATCACTTCCTTATCAGAACCCACAGTTATGGGGGTCGGGACTCTCATTATGCCCATTTTACAGATGGGGAAACTGAGTCTTGGCAATTTAAGTTACACAAAAAGCAGTGTATGGGGGGGAGGGGAGGAAGGGAGGGAGGGAGAGGGGGAGAGAGAGAGGGAGAGAGATTAATTTCATAAACAACCTCGCTCACTCCTTTTTTGCTGTTGAGAAATACTTTTAAACTATTTGTTCCCTGGGTGTTGGAACCACAATGATCATGTTTGAATGAATCAGTTCTTTGACTGATTACCTGGGAGGTTTGCAGTAGCTGGGAACTCAACTGCTCACCTTACCTTTGCAATTTTGATCGATTTATGAAATGATGCCTTTTCCTCCGCAGCCCATGTGGAGTCCCCCCGCCAACACACAATCCCTGGTGTTTGGGGGTCCTTAAATTCTATCTCACACGCCCCCATCACCACAACCATAACTGCAGATAACATTAATCAAAGACCTCGTGGGTGCCCTTCTAACGTATTTCATCCTCCAGCGACGCTGTGAAGTGTGATCATTAATACCATTTTATACATAGGGAAACTGAGGCTGAAAGAGCTGAAGTCACCTGTCAGCCAGCCGGGGAGTGACGATTCTAACCCTGGCATTCTGACTCCGGAACGCAAGTCTCGAAACCTGTCCGCAGCTAGCCCAGTACCTATAAATATAGACAGGGCCCTCCTAATCAAGAGATGATGACAAAGTCGGCTTGTTATTTTTTTTATGGGGCTGCAGGAATGGTAGATAAGAGAAGCAGCAGCCCTGGGCTGTTGACAGAAGCTACAGATCAGGGAGTCTGGGCGCGGGGGGTGGGGGGCATGCATGGATGAGACTTGCCTCCCTGCCTACTTCCTTCCCCCCATCTCTGCCTCTCACCTCCCTGCATCTCCAGGGCACTTTGCCGTTGAGGGTTATTCTTAGCTCTGCACAATCAAACCGTCACTGTCTGAAGGCTAAATGTGGGGGGAGATGGGAAGTGGTGGGGGGGGGTGCGGTGATGGAGGGACGTGAGAAAGCTTTTCTCATCCCCCATATCTGTCTCCCCCACCCCGACACACACACACACACACACACACCCCACTGGAATTTCCCCAGGACTGCGTTTCTGTCTCACTCACTCTTGGGTATCCTGGTAAACTCAGCCTCACTGTGTGATACTGGGCAGGTGGCTTTCCCTCTCTGAGCCTCAACTTCTTCATCTGTGAAATGGGGGTGATAATAATAACGCTCTTTCGTGGAGGGTGATGGGAGGATTAAATAAAATAAAGGCTAACTATGGCGTTGGCACAAAGAAGGTCCTTGATACAGAGCATCCGTGGTGATTTTTATTTGGCCCCAGGGCCCCTCCGGGTGGGGGAACTGGTATGAATCCTGCTGTTGACTGGGAGTGTCATCACATGGACACTTGTCAGTGCCTCAGATCCAACATAGGGATCCTCATCCCTGATGCCGTCTGGAGCCCACCATGAGAAAGAATCCGCCACCCCATCCGTCGACCGGGCTGGACCACCATGTGACAACTCCCACCGTGAATCTTCAGCTGAATTTTCCAGCTCCTTTACTGCCCTCTCTGTGTGCACCAGGCCTACTCCTCACCCCCACCCCTGACATGGCTGCAGAGGCTAAAGCACGGATGTGCCAACGAGCACAGCTGATGCTTGCTGGGCCCTGCCTGTGATGCTGGGCAAGGAGGGTCCTGTGACGACCTCAGTGTTCTCATCTGAAAAACGGGGGTGACCATAGCACCTGCCCCCTGGAGTTGTTGCGAGCACTGAACGGCTCACGGTGATGACACGCAGGAAGCGTTTCCCACCGCAGGCCCCCGTCCCCAGGGTGTCAGTGGTGCCCTTTCCCCTGTTGCTCAGCCCAGCCCCCTCCCCAGTTGTGCCCTGACCTGTCCCCACTCAGGCAGGGAAACACCGCCATCTCCAGATTGTCCCTTCAGATGTCTCCTTGCCGTTTCTGCTTTTCCCCAAGCCATGCCCACCTGTCTTAACCACTGTTCTGTCCACAGTACACAGCCTGTTGTGTTCAGGAAATACATTAATTGTGTGGATGAATGAATGAATATTTCCTGTCTTCCTTCTAGAAATCTCTTTCCTTTGTTTGAGGAAGTAAGGCCAACTTGCCCAGGAGTCTACTACATTCAAAGTTTATCCCCTAAATTAATTCATCCTCTAAGCTAAGTTCATCCCCTAAGCTACTATATCTTAGTGGTTAGGAACACAGGCACTGGATCCCTGAAGCCTTGGTTCAAATCTCAAACTTGCCCCAGCCTTTTTTTTTGGCCGTGCTGCACGGCTTGCAGGATCTTAGCTCCCGACCAGGGATCGAATCCATGCCCCTTGCCGTGGGAGCGTGGAATCCTAACCACTGGACACTGGACCACCAAGGAATTCCCTCAACCTTGCCCCTTAATTTCTGTGTGACATCAGATACGCTACTGACCCTCTCGGTGCTTCACGCCACCATCAAGAGTGGTTTTATGGGACTTGCCTGGTGGTGCAGTGGTTAAGAATCCACCTGGTAATGCAGGGGTCACAGCTTCGAGCCCTGGTCTGGGAAGATCCCACATGCCACGGAGCAACTAAGCCTGTGTGCCACAACTACTGAGCCCACTGCCACAACTACTGAAGCCCGCATGCCTAGAGCCCGTGCTAGGCAACAAGAGAATCTACCACAATGAGAAGCCCGCGCAAGACAACGAAGAGTAGCCCCTGCTCGCCACAACTAGAGAGAGCCCGCGCACAGCAACGAAGATCCAACACAGCCAAAAAAAAAAAGAGTGACTTTATGTCAGGGTTAATCTATGTGAGGGGAGGTGTGCCCCGTCTGGTGGGCCCAGAGCCCTTTGCTAGATTCACAAACCATGACCTTGAATTTGGGGGGTGGAGTGGAGATTCAATTAAGGAATGGGGCCCACTGGTGTCTCCAGGACATGGGGGAGGGTCGCCGATCTGAGCAGGCTGCGGCCCCCGCCTCCAACTTGCGGCAGAGACAGGTGGGCACCAGTTCCTGGGGACCAACGCTATAACCATTTCCTAGATGGCAAAACTGAGGCTTGGAGGGCCTTTCTGTTTTCCGGCCCTCTCCTGGCTGGGGGAGGGGAGAGGAGCTGGGCCGCTGGGGGAGGATGGAAGCGGGGCCGGGGGTGCGGGTGAGACAAAGCAGGGTTGGGGGCCATTTATTAGCTCTAATCGCTGTCTCCCCGGATGAATTAGACCAAATTACAGCAGCCCGCCCTTAAGGACAGCGGGCTCCCAGCATTGTCTGCGGGAGCGAGCAGGCGGCGGTGGGGAGCGCTGGGGGGGCCTCCTCTCGACAATGAAGCCCCCCAATTAGCCAGGCAGGGAGGCGGGAGAGCTGCAGCCCGGCCCCACCTCACAGGGCTGTGCAGAGTCCCAATGAATTCAGCTCCACGAAAGCCAATTAAAGTCGGCAGGGGGCCCAGTGGGCTGAGGAAGGAGGAGGGAAGAAGGGGGGGAGGGGAGGGGACCACGTGATCCAGGGTCGGGGCACCTAGGCTGGGGCTCCCAGGCCCATGGGGACCTGTACCAGTGGGGGCAGCTGAAACCCCCCAAAGCACAGACGGGGCTGAGTTCTGTCCATTGCCATGTCTGTTCCCCCCAGGCCTGATTAGGAAG